TTTTATTGAAATATAATTTTTATAATTTCTAAACACATTTTAATTTTTTTTAGTTGTATATTATATCATAAATAAGATAAATTATTTTTAATTCAACTTTTAACTTAAAACTCAATCGATATCCAAACACACCCTTAGATACTTTATATTAAAGCGTTTGCTCAAACGACCATTTATATGATTTATAATACTCACACTTGAACTAGTTAATATTGTATCATTAATATAAAACAATAAGAAAATATGATGTTTTCCAACATTTTTGTAATAAAGACAATGATCATATTCACTTTTAAAATTTAATAGTTGCATACACTTCTAAGAGATTATTTTAACTATACAAAAATTTATTCAACAAATACACATAGTCAACCTTGGTTTCATTATTATATTTCTCATGTTGCTTCATACATATTCTTCCATTCAAGTTGTCGTATAAGAAAGTAATTTTTACATCTATTTGTTTTGATTCTCAATTAAAAAAAGAAAAAAAAAAAAAAACAGCATAATACAAATAATAGAAAACTTAACAATCAATTAGAAAAATTCATGTAATCAATACTCTTTCTTTATCTAAATTTTTTTACTATTAGTCTTAGTCATAAGCACAATATATTTTCTTCTTATCTTACTTTAAAGACTCATTTATAATCTATAAACAAATAGCTTGTGACTTTAGACTCTAAACTTTATTAACATGCAAAAACTCACTAATGGTCGTCAACCATTCTTTTTTATTTTCACAATTAACCGTCTCATCAAAAGGTTTAGGTTCATTATAAATAAAAGCATAAAATGAAAAATCATATTCTTCTAATTTAGAAAGTTGCTTTATTATTCTTCTACTTATTAATAATATTGATCAAAATCATGGGATGTATTTTTCGCACTTTTCAAAAGGGCATTTGTTTCAACAACGGAGTGTTCAATACTTAAAATATATATTTTGGATTTTGCATTTCAGTTTCAGACGCGGACAAATTAGGATCAGACATGGTAATCTAAAAAATTATGGTCAAAATGTATGATTCTTCAATCTTATTTGAACTAGGGGCAATTTCATCTAAAGAAACATAATTTTCAAATATGAACTAAATAATTTCAAATTTATTAAAAGTAACGTCGCTATTGATAATATTTTTTTAAAGTAAGTTCTTATTGTAACCATAATTTATAATTACTTTTCACTCTCTTAGGCGAACGCTACAAAAAATTAATGTATTTGTAACGGAATTTTATTCCTAAAGTTCACGTAGCTAACGTAATTCCATTCCTATTTCCGTCTCTAATGTCATTAATAACGGAAAAAATAGATCTAGAGACAACAAAATTTTGTTACAAAAATAATTTTTTCTTATAGTGAAAAGAAATGCAACTCAAACTGTTGACCTCAATCCATGTATAGATGTGTTAGGAATATATGCATTTTATTAGAAAAAATCATATTTTTTTGAGAAAATTATCGATAATAGATTGAAAATACATGTTACCACTGCCACCTTATATAGTCCTACATAATTTAATAATGCTCACCAATTATCATATAAGGATAGATGAAATTTATCATTACCAAAATATCCAAATTTATTTAATAATTCAATCTCATTGTTAATAATAACCTAATATAATTTTATCCTATCAACAGTTACAATATTAACATAAATTTTAGTTTGCCCAACAAGAACAACTATTACAGTATACAAGTTATTTTTTATTTTTTATTTAAACAATTGCAAAGATTTTTTTACAAATTTTTTGCAATTAACTTTACATTTGTTTTTTTCCTTTAAACCTTTAAAAAATAAATTTGCACAAGACAAGAGATTTTTTGACAAATAATGTACATGTCTAATTTTATTTAATTAAAAAAATGATCTAATTCAAATTTCAAATACATAGATCCAACATCCATAATGTTAGAGATTCTATCATCCATTATGAAAATATGCAAACCATTGGAAGGTTTATAATCTAAAAAGGTCTTTATGGAGGAGGTCATATGAAAAATCAAAATAAAGTATTTAGTTTTGTATCATATTTTATAACATAAAAGTTTTAAAATGTTTTTATTTTACAGTAAAACCATCTTTTTAATATTTCACTTTGTCTCATATTTGCAGTTTCATTTTAGGGTGTGTTCATTTACAAGATTTTCTCCAAAATTTACTATTTAGCAATTTTTCTCCAAATATATGAAATCAAAACACTTATTTTATATTTTTTATATTATATTAAAAATTAATTTAAATACAAAATATCACATCGACATAATTATATCATATCATACAACTATTCTAATTCAAAATTTTTGCTATTCAAATCTCAATTCAAAATTCAAAACCCCAACAAACATACCCTAATCATTTTTATTTTTGTTTATTTTTTAGAATAATTATCTTTAGGAGAATATTTAACAAAGTGATTTAATTCACTACATTGGAAAACAACATTAACATTTTGAGGAGTTTTAAACTTAAATTAATACTTTAATTTTATACTTCATTTGTCATCCAATTGTGTACTTGTTTGATCGTGAACAGATTTTAAGAAAAATTGATATAAATAGAAGCTTTTACTTTTTTAAGGTAAATTAAAAATAGAAAAAATTGTATTTTTTTTACTAAACAATGAAATAAAAATATATTTAGATGACAATAAAAAAGAAAAATAACAATAAAATTTTATAACATATGGGAGTATACTTTATTTATTTATTTATTGTTATTATTATTATTATTATTATTGTTATTATTAGAAAGCCTATTTTTATTTGATAGCTATGATAATTTACATCTTGTATACTACAACTAAATCTATTATATTTCAATCATATTTTATGAAAAAATTAATGTGTCATAAATTTGGAATAACATTTAGACTATAATTATCTATGTTATTATACCTCATCAATTTTATATATTATATATTTTTTTACTTTGATCTCTTCCACGTATTTTACAATATTTTTAAAATAAAAAATAATTTACTATATTTTATCACATTGCATCATTCTAATAAAAAATTAAATATATATTTTTATCTCTCATTACATAATCTAATTCTCAAATTATACTTGATACTATCCAGTTAAATTCACATGTCGAAAACTAAATATTTTACCATATATGGGACAAAGAGAGTATTAATTTTGTAAAGTATCAATATTTTCATAAATTATTTTTAAAAATCAAACTTAAAGCTAAAAGTTTTTTTCAACAAAAGAATCATAGTAGAAAGAAAGCTTTAGATAAGTAATTCATCAAGTTGATTCCAATACACTTTTGTTGATTCTTTTTTTTTTATTATTATTCTAACTATTGGATTACCCAAGTTTAAAATAAAAAGAGACTAATCCATCTATTTTAATTCTCTTTCAAGAGAGATATGTATGGGATGTGATCCCTTAGACACTTCTTTATCATTTATTCACACATGGCAAGATTATTTTATCATAAAAAGTTTGAATATTTAAAAAGGCAGGGGTTGAGACCATTTTTGTTCAAAAGCATATTACTTGAATAACAAATAAGTGTAAAGAAAATTATATCTTTTAGACCTTTAGTTATGGTTAATTATAATTTTTATAGTATAAAAATGAGATATATATATATATATATTTCGTTCAGTTATCAATGTTCTTCGTAAAAACATAAATACTAATCTGTTTCAAACATAATGGTTTTGTTCATCAAACACTATATTTCAATTGCAATTTCCCTAAAATTATAATAAACAATACAAAATATTTTTTACAAAAGTAAAAAATTCTAAGAAAAAATTATATACTCATTACAAAAAGTCAAAAAGTCAAAATATTCAACTTAAAACAATATATTTTATATTTTTGACACAATTTCTCATATCACACATCTAATATCAATTCATCTAAAAACGCTGGATAAACGGAGATTTGTTAACCGGAACATCAAAACTAATATCTATTTCTTCTTGAAAAATTTAGGGGCATTTTTTTTTTTTTTTCAAATTTATTTTTTAGGTCGGTTTTTTAGTTTTTGATATTTTTAAGGTGATAATAGTTGTTTTCTTTTATGTTTTCATATAGAAAATAGGAGTGTTTTCTTTTCAACTTGATTTCTTTTTAATTGCTTAGTAATATAAACCAAATCAAATTCCGAAAAATCATATATATTTGACGGTAATAATTTTGAAGAAAAAATAAAATACTAAAAGAAAAAAAAAGGGATTGAGAGCATAAATGAACAAAAACTTTGTTTTTACACAATTCCCGATACCTAATATAAAAACAATATATCAAAACACAAAACAAACACACCCAAAGTCTTAATATTTTTAAAACAATTTATATGAAGTAGTCTAGTGTGAGAGGTGAATCCGCACTTGTAAAATAACCGCTGCAATTTTATACTCCCTCCGTTCCATATAATTTGTTCCTATTTTTTATTTTCGTATGTACCACATAATTTGTCTTTTCATTTTTTGAAAAAATACAATTACACTTTAATCATATTTTAAAATTTAAAATTTAATTTTTTTAATATTAATTAAACTATTTAGTTATCTTAATATTAATCTATAATTATTTTTAGTATATAATAATTAGTTTTACTAAATACACTTTTTAATTATTTACTAATTATACTTTACCTAAATTCTCGTATCTACAGTAATAGACTCGTATTATCTAGGACGGATTGAGTAATATATTTAAACAAAGTCTTATAAAGTTGATATATGTACGCACTAGATGTATTTCTTGAACGTTGTGGTCTATGTAATATATATACTCTTTATAATATATATATATATATATATTTTGTGTTAATTTATTAAATTCGTTTTATTAAATAATTTGCAACCTTGTGCACGAGGGAACACCACTATCCTCGCGCTAAATAATTTATACACTTGAGAATTAAGCAATCCAAACACAAACAAAACTTTTACTACAATCCAATACTACTTATAAATTCTTGCATGTCCACACAACAATTTATTAATACTTACCACAAGTTGTAATAACTAAGCTTTATGTCCTCTATATATATATATATGAACAGAAAGTAACAAGCTAATTACAAGTAAGGGAGAATAAAAAATAATAATAATTATTATTACTATAATTATATAATAATATCAATAATAATAATAATAAGTTGTAAGCAAGAACTGAAGCATGGGAGAATTAGAAAGCAGCAACTCCAGTCCCTTATTGATAAAGATCAGTGATCCCGACGAGGGTGGCCTCCGGCAAAGAGCGTTGACGGAATCGAAGCTGTTGTGGCGAATAATCGGGCCTGCGATTATAAGCAGGCTCTCGAGTTATTCGTGGAATTGTATAACCCAAGCCTTTACGGGGCACATCGGTGAGATCGAGCTCGCCGCGTTTTCCATCCTCTCGAGTGTCGTTTGTGGCTTCGATCTTGGCTTTTTGGTAATTTCTTCTATATTTGATTATTTAATTTTTTTAAAAAATAAAAAATAAATGTATTAAATATTTTTTTATAAATTTTGTTGTAGAATTATTCTTGTATTAGCCTAGCCAAAATGGTTTATACCGTAACGTAAAAGAATGTAACTAAGCTATATAGTAAAAGTTTACACAAAAGAGGCATTTCGTGGGTAGATATATAGTAAAGCAATTTTAAAACGAATGTATATGATATTTTTTTAATGTGTTTTTCTTTATATATATAATATATATATATATATGTATATTAATTCAAATAGTAGTTGCATATGATGTTTTATAATAATAATAATAATAATAATATCTTAGAAGATATTAAAGGGGAAAAAAAACTAAAAAAGAACGTAGTAGAATTTATATCAATTTTATTATGTAATCCACACACTTCTTTTTTTTTTTTACTAAAAATATCAAATTAAATAAATATATATATTTTTTATATTATACTAAATTAATTTTATATTTAAAACATCGTATCAACGCCTATTTATATCATATTATACAACTATTACAATTCAAAATTTTTACCATTCAAATCTCAATTTAAAATTCAAACCCCAAACAATTACACCTTTAAACTAAAATTTTGTTACATAGACTCAAAAATCACCTATTCAATATAATTAAAAAATAATAATAATAAAATAAAATTCACTTATGGTTTATAAAAATTGTGTGAAACCCTATTGGCAGTGATTAATGTGCTAATTTTGTACCATTTAACTGTTTTGATAGCACCAAATATATTTGTATAAAAGCTCAACATATTTTTCTAGAACACCAATTTTTAAAATAAATGATATTGTTCGTTTTGAGCTTAGACCGTACGGATTTATTTTTGAACTTGCTCCAAAAAGTTTCGTACTAATGTGGAGTTCACTTGGAATTTATAATATGTAAAAAAATTTTCACAATTTTCGTTGTGGAACTTGAGTTTGCACCCAACAAAACATAACTATTATATTAATAAAAGCACAATATTATATTTACTCTGGAAAATCAAAATAGTACGGACATTTAAAGTGTTTCACGGTAATTAAAGCGAACCTTATTATTCAAAAACTTTGTCAGATCCCTTTTATAATTTCATAAACTAGATGGCCATTAAATAATAACAAAAGATTAAACCCACAATTTCTGAAAAATCTGTTTTGCCAAAAGATAAATATATATATATGCATATATATGTATAGATCGGTATGTCGAGTGCAATGGACACGCTGTGCGGACAAGCCTACGGCGGAAAGCAGTACGAGATGCTGGGCGTATATCTGCAGCGCTCCTGCCTGGTCCTCCTCGCCACCGCGCTCCTCCTCCTCCCTCTCTACCTCTTCACGGCGCCGCTCCTCAAGCTGCTCGGCCAGCCGCCGGAGGTGGCGGATCTCGCCGGCCAAATGGCGCTCTGCACCATCCCCATGCACTTCAGCTTCGCCTTCATCTTCCCCCTCCACAAGTTCCTGCAGTGCCAGTACAAGAACTCCGTCTACGCCTGGGCCGGCGCCGCCGGCCTCTTCGTCCACCTCGCCGTCACCTGGCTCGTTGTCTCCGTCATGGGCCTCGGCGCCGTCGCCGCCTCGGCTGTGCAGAGCGTCACCTGGTGGTTCTGGGCGGCTGTCATGGCGGTGTATATCTTAGCCGGCGGCTGCCCGCTGACGTGGCAAGGGTTCTCTGTGCATGCGTTTTCTGGCCTCTGGGAGTTCGTCAAGTTGTCTGCTGCCTCAGGCGTCATGATTTGGTATATAATTTTATTTTTTCTAATAGTAATTTTTTCAAATAAGTATTACATCAAACAATATTCTTTCCGTATCTTACTTTTTTATTATTTTTAAAATAATGATATCAAAATATTAAATATACAATTATTTTATACATAAAATTAAAATATAAAATATAAAAAATTCTTACAAACTTCCAATAACTAATAAAATACTATTATGTTTTAACTTACTATAAAATGCCAAAGGCCTTTTCAATTTGAGACAGAAAGAATAATATTTTCTATATAAAATACTCTCTACATCTTTTATTTATCTATCCGTTTGTTTTTTTGAACGGAGTTTTAGAAAATTAGTATTATACTGTGGTGTGATATGAATAAAGTAAAAGAAAAAAGACTAAATAACTTTAGTAGTATTGTATGATATAAAATTAATAATATTTATGTAATATATTGTAATAATATTTTTAATGTTAGTAGAAAGTACAATAACTAACCATATGAGACAAATCAAAATAAAAAGAAAATGAATAAATTGTTAAAGGGAGATGAAATATTATATGGATACTAATTTTTTACTATTTTTAAAATTTTATAAAAATTTGAAAACTTGCGTCTGAATATGCCCAAAATTTTGGACAGTTTGGAGAATTGGTATTACAGAATATTAGTGCTCATGATTGGCAACATGGACAACGCTGCAATAGCAATCGGCGCTTTATCAGTTTGGTAACGGAAAATTAATTTATTTTTATTTTTATTTTTATTTTTTTCAAATAATAATAGTCATAATAATAATAATAAATGATGATTAATTAATTAAGGTGTGTGAATGGGTATGCAGCATGTCAATAAATGGGTGGGAGAATAGCATTCCACTGTCCTTCTGCGGTGGTACGAGGTAACCAACTACAACTAATACTAATACTACATTTCTTACCACATAATATATTTTCACTTCATCCTACCTCAGACCTTAAATTAAGCATACAAATAATTACTTTTGATACCAAAAAAATAAAAATTGCAAATTTATTGTGCATATGACAATAGCAATTTTATTTAGTATAAATTTGAACCGATTGGAATGACTGTCTTACCTAAAATGAGATGTATGCGAGACTCAAATTCGACACCTAAAGTCTAATATCATATTAGATGAGTGAAATGACCGTCTCACCTCAAAATTTAAGCTATTTAAAATACTTCATCCGTCTCATAACAAAGTATTCATTTCTTTTTTTCTTTTTTTTTTAAGTAGCTTGTATTATCTACTTTACATTACAAATACCCTTACAACTTACAATATATTACACAAATGTCATTACCTTTATATCACACGTACTAATAAGGTTATTTTAGGCATTTCTACTTTATTCCTACTACATCCAAATATAATACTAATATTTTTAAAACTATGTGCAAAAAGCAAATGGATATTTAATTATGAGACGGAGGGAGTATACGTTATTAATTATTTTTCTAACATATGAAAGTCCCCAAGAATATATATTAATTAGAGAATGTTCATGGTGCTAATCAGCACATGAAATATAGATGGATAACATATATTGTGTTTTAAAATTAACTGTGCTATATATTGTGTAGACTATTGTCATATGTTATATTTCTATTAAGTGAAAAAAAAAAAAACATTGTGTTGTTAATAACAATATATAATCACAATCCACAAGAGTAGTGTCGCCACATTTTAATCGATATCTTAAAAAATATAGATATACATCTCATTTTTTTAACATATTATAAAAATCATAGTTAACCATAAATAAAGGGCTAAAAATTTGCAATTTTCCCTCGTAATCATCCTAACCATTTTGAGTTTTCAATAGAAGTTATAGATACCTACTTCATGCATTTTTAATCATAATCTTTACTCAAACTTAAAAAAATTAGTTTCCAAATTCATCACCATGTATGTATATAATAGACAATGCTTGAAAGCGATATAGTGTGACATGTATATATATTATCCTTGAAGTGTAAGGGTTGCAAACGAGCTTGGCGCGGGAAAGGGGAAGAAAGCGAGGTTTGCGACAATAGTGTCGGTGGTGACATCGACGGGCATAGGGGTGTTGATCATGACCATAATTCTAGTTTTCCACAAACCAATTGCATTGTTATTCACTTCAAGCAAGTTAGTTCTTGATGAAGTCAACAGCATGTCACTACTCTTGGCTTTAACTATTCTCTTCAATAGTGTTCAGCCAGTTCTTTCAGGTATATTTATATACTCCCTCGGTCGTGCAAATATGTGCTCACTTGATCGGGCACGAGTTTTAATAAAAGTGAGTAATAATTGTTATTTTTTCCTTTTATAGTAAAAAAAAGTATAAAAGTATAATGATTTTTTACTTAAAAAAGAAACGAGAATATTTTTCGATAACAACCTAAAAAGGAAAGTGAGTATAGATTTGAATGACGGAGGGAGTATATAATACTATGGCAAAATTATAAATTTAATTACTCATGTATATATATATATATATATATAATCTACAATCACTCTTGTTTAATTTCCTATGTTTTCTTAGTTATGTTTTAATCAAATACTCTTGTTATCTTTACACTTTCTCCTAAATTATACTATATATTAGAACTCAATGAATGTGTGAGTATGGTTAAATTTAAGTGTTTTTGAACTTAAATAACAAATAGGTATTTGATCGATATAATATAAAGAATACGAGTCTATTTATGTATATATTTTTAATTCACTAATTTTTCAAAAAAACCACATAAATACTTAATACATCATATTCATTATTTAATTATATATATATATATATATACTCTCAAGTGTTCCATGTAAGCTCTTAAACTCCAAAACTTCAAAAATATCTATCTAAACTGAGTTTTTGAAGTAATTTTTATATATAAAAATGAAGTATTTGATAGAATACTTCTTGAAAATATAGAAGAATTGATAAATATTTCAAAAATAAGACTGAAAACATAAGTACAAAACCCATTTGATTGCAGGAGTGGCTGTGGGTTCAGGATGGCAAGGTCGTGTAGCTTACATTAATATTGCTTGTTATTACATTGTGGGACTCCCTCTTGGGATTCTCATGCAGTGGGTTTTCCACATGGGAATTATGGTAATATTTATTTTATTTTTATCATGTTGGATTAATTCGATATTTAATTAGTTAGAATAGTTAATTATAAACTAATTAAGCAGGGTGTGTGGGGTGGAATGATATTTGGTGGAACTGCACTTCAGACAGTAATTCTGTGCATCTTGACCATCAGGTGTGATTGGGATAAAGAGGTAATAATAATCAAGAATTTAACACACGACACAAATTAATTTAATTATGTCATATATATGACATAATTAATTGCCCATATTTTTTTTACTACAGATATATATATTGGACAATACATAATTATATTTTTAAACATCAAAAACCCTATAATTATAGACTAAAATGATTTTCTTATGTACAGATGCTCTAGCTAATTGAAATTGTACGTTTGATTGTATTGAAATGCAGGCAGAGAAAGCAACCAAATATGTCAAGAAGTGGTCAGAAGTTTAGGATTTAAAGTTAGTTTGATCTTTGCTGTTTCACATTTAATTTCCTATCTCAAATTGATCGAGATGATATATGTATTGTTATCGATCATTCTAAGAGCATATACAATAGTAATGTTTTAAAAAAAAGCTTCTAAACCAACGTATTTCTTACGTGTCCGGGCATCTATTCGGAGACAATTAATTTAAATATTTTATCCCACAAAAATTATTTTTATGCCGTCAAATAATCTAGTTCATTCTTCCATTTAGCCGAGTAAAAATTAGCTTGCCCAAACTTACTATGGAGAAAACTACCATTGATGGTGGTTCTAAGTATAAATGAAATTAATTTGAGCAATGAAGTATTACTTTGCTTCATGGTTTATGAATTAAATTTTAAATTATAATTCAATTTATAATTATTTTCTTCCATGGAATTTATTGTTCTTTATACAAAAATATTGTGTATATAGGTGAAATTCTAATTAAAAAATATTTTATTATTATAGAAAATAATAATATAAAATAGAGTATTATACTTAGAGTTGGCAATGAGTCGATTCGTGTCGGGTTGAATATTTTAAACGAGTTAAATTACTCAACCCTAATCCGACCCGTTTATTATTGTGTCGGATTCGGGTTGACTCGTGTTGACCCGTATACATAATTAAGTCGAATTTCTTGATTTAAATTAAATAATTTTTTGATTGTGTTGTCGTGTTATGTTAGTTTTTATTGGTTTGAGTGTAAATTAGGTTAATTATTTAAAATTGAATTTAGTTTAAATTAATTTACGAGGAAATTATTAAATTATGATTATTTTACATGTATAATGAATCAATATTAATATATTATAATTGGGTTGTCGTGTCGGGTTCGAGTTGAAAACCCCAACCCTAACCCGACCCGTTTACTATCGTGTCGGGTTCGTGTCAACCCGTATACATAATCGGGTTGAAATCATTGACCCAAATCCAATTATTTCGTATCAGATCATATCTTGTCAGTTTTTGCCAACTCTAATTATACTCCATCCGTTAAATTTAAGAACATTTCATTTGTAATTTACAAAAGATTTGTCTCTAAATCAGACGGAGTGAGCATATTTTTTAATTCCCCCACCCCTCTATTGTGTATATATAGATAATATTTTCATCTTCCAATTTTACAGTTTACATTTATTTTTTTATATGTGAATTAAAAAATGTTAGTGTTTTAATAGCAACGGGTAAATATAATAGTATAAAGGTCAAATTATCATTACTTTTAGTGTATAATAATAATGTGAGGATAATAATGTAAATAATTATTATAAAAATATTACTCTCTCTGTCATTCAAATCTATGCATACTTTACTTTTTTTTGTTGTCATAAAAAATATTATTGTTTTATTTTTATTTTTAAAAAAAATAACAATTATTATTTACTTTTATTAAAAATTTTATCCAATCAAATAAGCACACCTCTGCAGAGAAAGTAATACTTAGTATTTGAATCCACTATTACTAAAAAAATAATATATATAAATCTTTGAATTTGATAGATTAAAATGGAAATATATAAATATTAAAAATAGCTAATGCATTATCAAGACTTTCTAATAATTTGTTATTTTTATATAATAATTTTGGAAAATAATAATTTATACATTTAGTTCAGACCTATGGATGGATACCCAACCTCAACAAACAATATATTAAATAATCCTTATTTAATTTGTGGGTCCAAAGTAACATATTTTGTCGTCTTTCTTTATTTCATATTAAATACAATTTCTAGACTTTTTATTTTTTATTTTTTTTTTTATTTTTTTATTTTTTAAATAAGTACAATTCCTAGACTTTTAATTAAATATGTCCGTCTATATTTATTTCCTGAATGTTCGCCTTTATTAACTATTGCACAATTAAAGGATTCATTTACAAATCACCATTCAACTTTAATCATTAACATAGGCCAATTTTGAAAAAAAATTTAATGGTATCACAATATATAAAATTAAATAATATTAAATTAATAAAAATTAAATAATTATGAAAATATACAAAAAATAATAATATAATAATATAGAAAATATTGTTTTTTATATTAATATTATTAAAAGATACTCCCTCCGTCCCATATATCGTGTCTACTACACGACACGGTATTTTAGGAGGGCTGTAATCAGTAGATAATTAAGAATGTATTAGTGAAAATAATTATTCTATAATATAAATAATTATAAATTAAGATTAAGATAACTAATTAGTTTAATTAAAATTTTAAAAAAATAAATTTAAAAATTTAAAATGAGATTAAAGTGTATAATTATTTTCCAGAAAAAAGGAAAGTGATAGGAATATGAGAAGGAGGGAGTATTAATTATTTTAATTGGATTGAAATTTAATTTGCCTTTCTTCCACACTTCTCAAAAAATACATTTTGCTCAAAAAAATTAATATATTATACACACTCGTTATTTTATTATTATTTACATAATTTTTTATACTTTACATAAAAAAAATATATATATATTTTTTTAAACAATTTCACTATATAAGCACACATATTTTAAACTTCAATTAATTAAATAGCTGTGATGTTTCAAAATTTAAATATTAAATAGAGCATTGTATATTTTTTAATAATAACAAAAATATTAAATTATAAAACAATTTTTTTTTAATAGAACGAAATTACTAGTGCCATGTGTTACAGTAATATCAACATCTGCCTATACTTTGTGATATAATTTTGTTTTCAAATAAATTTTCGCACTAATATCACGTTAAGTAGTTTTTTTTTTTTTTATATAGAATTTTACATTAAATATTAATTTTTACTATGGAAAGGATCTATGCTTCAATATATATTATATAGAGAGTGTTTTATAGATTAGATTCAATTATTTATATAAATTTTATAGAATTGTAAAATATTTTTTATTAATTTATATAATTATATGAACTTATATATAATACAATTGTAGATAAAAATAATTGAAAAAAATATTAAATAAAAATATAAAAAATATATATTAGTTTTAGAAAATACAATATTATTATTATTGTTGTTGCTGTTGTTGCTATTTAATTTATTTTAATTTTTATTATTATTATGCGTCGATTTCATTTCTCAAATAGCATTAGCAATACTAATTTTTTTTTTATATTAACTCTTCTTTATAATCAATGAAAAATTAATGAAATGAGCATGCTTTAATAAATATTTTTATATAATTATTAATAATATAGAATTATTGTAACATAATAGTATTTTATATTAATATTTTAATTTTATAATATTAATTTTATTATCATTTAATATATCAATTTATTTTAATTTATATTTCTTATTAGTTAGTATTATTATTCTTATTTATATAACTTTTTTACATAAAAAATAAATATATAAAAAAAATTAACATCAGAATTAACTATTTTTGAAAAAATAAAGTAAAAGTAAAAATGAAAAATGAAAAAAATGAATAAATATGAATTAATCGTTCAAAAAACAACTATAAATATTTAGTCCATTTTACCGGAATGACAATATAAAATATATTTCAATAATTGAAAAAAAAAACGTTAATATATATATTTATTATGATAAATAATATTATATTTATCTTATATAAATACATATTCTTAATAAATTCGATAATTATAGTATATTTTAATTTTAAATATTATATTTTATTAAAAAGATATAATAACATTAATAAAATAATTCTGTTATTATAATAATAATAATAATAATAAAGAAGGTGGGTAATTGTATTAAGCAAGATAAACACGGCCAGATTCTTTTTCTGAAATAAATGGCTGTTGAAGGCGTGTGTGCATGTCTTTTTTATTTATTTTAATTTTATTTTGTTATCAATAATTAACGTTGAAGATGGCAACCTAAGCCAAGTTTGACCATTAAATAATTAATGCCAACATTGTGATATTCAACTAATTGCATCATATTTGGATATGAGAGGTTGACTTTTGTGCACTAGTTGGGACTCTATTATATTAATCCGCAACTAACAATTAACTATATATATATATTATTAGTTATACAAAAAAATAAATATTTTATAAAATAAAATATATATATATATATATGTATTTATTTATGATTAATATAACATACTCTCTCTATAGAAGAGTAAATTTTTTCATTTTATCGCCTTTAGTTTGTCCAAGTAAATTTTTCTCATTTTTTTTTAAAAAAAAAAGTAAAATCTCATCTAAATACCAAAATAATTTTATTTTATATTTTCCACATTAATTTTTATTTTAATGTCAATGGTAAAATGAATATTACACTATATATATATATATATCTATAAAATACTAATTTATTTTAATTACGATACAAAAGTCAAATGAAAAACTTACTGATGAACGTAGGGAGTATTTCTTTTTATATATAAAAAATAAAATATTTTATATATCGATAAAAATATTTGTTTATTAAAAAAAAATAGCAATATACATATTTTAAGTAAGACCTAACAAGTTCTAAACTTTCATGGAAAGCATGAGATGCAAATTTAACAATTGTGGTTACTAACTATAATATAATTATTTTGATAAAAAAAAATATGTAGATCATACGGTCATTAATTCGATCTTTTTTTAAAAAAATAATTCTATATTATTATAGATTTAGAGATGAATACATAATATCTATCTCAAGTAAATATTTTGTTTTCGTTGAGGATCGAGTTAGTTTAAGTTTATCAATTTCAATGTTTTGTAGATTTATCTAATTTCATCGGTAGATGACATGTCTCAAAGAAGACTATATAAGGAATTATGCCGTTCATTTATTTTGTTCGATCATTATTTTTTTTTTCTATATATCCCACAATCACTTTTAAAGTACTTTTTTGTTCTTATGATTACTAATTTTGGTTTTTTTGTTGGTTTGGAATGATACAGCGAATAAATTTTGTAACAGTAGAAATAATTATTATATAATATAAATAATTATAAATTAATATTAAAACAATTAATTAATTTAATTAAAATTAATAAAATATTGATTATAAAATTAAAAATACAACTAAAATGTATAATTATTTTTTCTTCAAAGAAAAATAAATAAAATAAGATAAATGAAGATAAAAATAATAAACAAATGAATTGAAAGAAATGAAGTCTATTACTAGTATAATCTATTTCAAAAGAGTTCATTATTAATATCTTTCTTAAGACACACATATCCAGAAAATATATATGAGCTCTTATTATTCGATGTTTATAGATGAATTGATTTTTAGTGTATGATATAAAAATTGTATAAAATATATAAAAATATATTATTTTAAATTGAATATTTAATCTTTTAACTTTTTTGTAACAAGTATTTAATTTTTTTTTTACTTTTTATAATAAAATCTTTTATATTATTTATTTATTATTTTTTAGAATAGTAATTAAAAAATAGTATCAAAAATAAAGAGCTCATATTTCATGCCTCTAAAATTTAAGAAATTCAGTGATATTGATCATATAACAAAACTTCTCTTTAAATTTCTTGAAGTTCATTAAAAATGGAAATAAGTATATTTGGATAGTACAAATGATTTTTTTTTTAGAATTATGTTCAAATATTTATTATCAAGCAAAACAAGATATTTAATTAATTTTAGATAAAATACTATTATAATCTTTAATTTAATATAATTTTTTTTACAAGTTATCAATTATATTTTCAAAAATATTTTAACCATAATCCAATTACATACTGCTTACCTTATATTAATGTTTTTACTATAGTATATACCCCCTCTCTCCAAAACGTAAATTTTCTATTTTAGTTTGTCAAAATCAATTTCTTTTTAAAATAAAGTAATTTTTATTTGAACATTAAAATACTCGTATGTTTTATTTTTTACATTATTTTTATTTTAATGTCAAGAATAAAATGAACATTACTATTTTAAAAAATCAAATGGAAAGCTTAATAGTGAACGGAAGGAATATATAACAAAGATAAATGTGGGCTTTTTGTTTAGTGTCTTGATCCGAATTTTTTTTGATGTAAGGTATATGTAATGTTGGTAATATTTTATGTTAAATATTATTTTTTATCAGATAATAAATATATATATATTGTGAATTTTGTCGGAAGAAAAATTACAAACCCTAGATACATAAATAATAAAATTACTCCATATTTGAGACACAAAGTTGTGTTCTTTTGTGGACTAATTTTTTACAAAATTTTTACTATTATTATTTTTAAAATATCAAATTAAAAAATTATTTTTTAATTTTTTATTATATTAAAAATTTATTTTTTATTCAAAATATTACATTAATTAAACAACAATTCAAATACAAATTTTTAATCTTAAAATTTCAAATCCAAGAAACAAATTTACACACACAAAAGTAAAAGGTTGGCCTCAAATATGTTTTAAGATTTTGAGAATACTTATAAAATTGAATAACAACAAATGCTATTTATATATTTAAATAAAGAGGTATAATTGAGAAAAAAAAAAAAAATCGAAAACTTCAAGCATACAAAAGCCTTTTCAAAATGTGCCAATCATCCAAAAAATTTGTCTAGAACAATCATCCACGCGCGCGCACACACACAGGGGTTTATGATAAATTAATAAATAATAATATTAGTTTATTGATTAATAAAAATATAAAATATTTTGATATTTTTTTCTATTTGATTTTATGTATAAAATAATTATATATATATAAAATAATATATTTATAATTTATATAAAAAATTAAATATACTTTAATATCAATATATAATTATTTTTTTTTTATTAATAAAATAAAAATTCTATTTTATTTATTTTCTTTTTAAATAAATGTCCGAACAAGTAGATATAAGTTTAGATTATACTCCCTTTGTTTTATAATTATGCATCTGTTTGTTTTTTCACGAACTTTAAAAATATTAATATTATATTAAAATATAATAAAAATAAAGTAAAAAATAATTAAAATAACTTTATTAGTATTATATAATATAAAAATAGTAATATTTATTTAATATATTGTAAATTTCAAGAATATTTATAATGTTAAAATAGATTGAGACGAACTAAAATTAAAAAATTAACACTTGGAACGAGGGAGTAGTAATTATTTATTTATTTATTTATGCACCCACTATATAGGCAAGACTTGTCCCATTCTTCTTCAACATTCATTTTCTGTCATTCTTAATCTCTAATGGGAAGAACAGTCAGTCTCCGGCGGCGTATCGTCGCCCTCCTCAAAGACAAAGCTTCCCTATCCAAAGCCTCCTTCCTCTCCGCCGCCTCCCTCCGCCTCGCCCTCCTCCGCGCCACCACCCACCACCCCCCCACCCCCCCCGACGACCGCCGCCTCTCCGACCTCCTCCTCCTCGGCCAGACCTCCCGCGCGGCCGCCTCCCCCCTCATCTCCGCCCTCATGGACCGCCTCCACCGCACCGGCGACTCCGTCGTCGCCCTCAAATGCCTCCTCATCGTCCACCACATCATCCGCCGCGGCCCCTTCATCCTCCAGGACCAGCTCTCCATTTTTCCGGCCGCCGGCGGCCACAATTACCTCAACCTCTCCGCCTTCCGCGACGGCGCCGCCTGGTCCCTCTCCCGCTGGGTCCGCTGGTACGCCCGCTACCTCGAAACCCTCCTCTCCACCTCCCGCGCCTTCGGCTACTTCCTCTGCTCCTCCGCCGCCATTAAAGACTCCGACGACCTCCGAATCTCCTCCTTCCTCAACTCCGATCTCGTCCGGGAGATCGACGCCCTCGCCGCCCTCGTCGAGGAGATCTGTAAACTGCCCGACGCCGACGCCGACCGCTCCGGCGACGGCGCGTTGGTGAAAGAGATCATCGGATTCATCATCGGAGACTACCTCACGGCGGCGAACGAGCTCCTCCGGCGACTCGGCGAGGCCGGCGGGAGACTCGCCTGCCTGAGCTTCGGCGACTCGTTCGAACTCGTCTGCGCTCTGAAAAGACTGCTGAATTGCAGGGAAACACTTTCCGCCATTTGCGTCGTTCAGAAACCTTCGATCGAGATGATGTGGAGCACGATTGAGGAATTGAAGGACAGAATTCAGAAGCTGCAGGTGTACAGAGACGGCGGAAAGTTCTTGATCTTGGGAACCCGGGCGAAACCCAGTGAGTCGGCCCGGTTCGATGGCCGAGTCATCCGAGTCGGGGGTGACTCGGTCGAGTTCCACTCGGGAAGGTTTTGACAGTTTTTTTTTTTTTAAATCCATAAAATCAATTGAATAATTGGTAACAAATAGAAAGTTTATTAATTTTTTTTTCTAAAAAATATTCTATTTTGGTCTTTTTTTACTGTGAATAGTGATTGATGTATATTATAATATGTATGGGGTAAGGTTGGAGAATTATATTCATTTATTGGGATAATAAAGGCAGCACCTGCCCCTTTGTCTATATTATTATTATTATTATTTTTATTATTATTATTATTATTATAAATCAATTTTGCAAATACTTTGAGCACTGTAGGTTAGAACGGATCAAAGCAACATTTTAGAGATATAAAAAAGGATGTTGAAAATGAAAGCACGTGCATAAATACTAGTAATATTAATTTTATTTAATATTATTTTTAGTTGTACATTAAATTTTTTATTTTTTACTTCATTTGTGCCCAAATGTTTCATCTGCAACGGTAACTGTTGTGTTGTTTTGTATTTTTTAATTTTAGTATGGTAAAGATGAGAGGTCAATCATTTGTAACGGATATTTATTGTTTGTCTGTTACTTTTTTGGATGTCTGCTTTTTCTGTACATTCTTTCTCACATGATGAACCTTCTCTTTTGTCAATATTATTATTATTATTAAAATATTTTAAATGTTTAATTTTAAATTGAATAAGTTTAGATTTAAATTTGATTTTATTCGTATATTAAATTATTAAAACTTTTAAAGATATTTAAAAGGTGATTTCATAAGTTTGATAATTTAATAAATTCAATTTTTGTAGGAGGGGCTACTACATAAACTATTTCATACCAGCTCCAATAAATAAATAAATAAATAAATAAAAGTAAGTTGTAAACATTTTGAGATTAAAGTCTATAAAAAAAATAAAAAATAAAAAAAAGGAGTATAATTTATCCTATTATATATACAACTTTTGTTACTGCTTTCGTTTATTACATTCGAGTATTGTTTCTTCAATTGTTCTTTTATTTATTGCTTTATTAACAGCTTTTTAACAACCTTTTTGCTTTATTTAACAAAATTTATTGTCATCAAAGTTTGTGTTCTCCCTTTCACATGAAATATTCAATATTTTCATTTCGATTTATCCCATATAATTTTTTATTTTATTTTTTAAAAATTAATCATACATTTTTATTATATTTTAAATTTTGTGAATCTTAATTAAATTATTTGATTAACTAAATATTATCAATTTATAATTATTTGTATTATATTATGTGTTACTATTTTTAAGTTGTTTATTTAATCCATATGAGAGGATTTTGTTGAAAAAGTAGTGTTAGAATCAAAATTGATTATTTTATTTTAAATGATATAAAAATTGATCAAAATTTTAATAGCACCAAAATTAATTTCTCTATGTTTATCGTGTACACCTCTTTATTTTCGTCTATTCTATTTAGTCTGTTACTTTTTTTTTTTGGAAAATATTTATACACTTTAATCACATATCAAAATTATTAATTTTAATTAGACTAATTGATTATCTTAATATTAATATAAAATTATTTTTATTAATATATTTTTTAATTATTTACTAATTATACCCTTTTTAAATTCTCATGTCTACTGTAAACGGGACACAATACCCGGGATAGATGGAGTATTATATTTAAGATGGGACAAAAATGATTTTGTTTCCTTTTTGTTAACTATCATATATCAGCAAATCTATGCATAATTTCACCATAACTTCACACAAGCACGATTTTTTTTTATGACAGAAAATTCGCAAAAACTATTCTTTGATTGCACTATGAATAAATTTTTATCGAATTTAATAGCCTGCAAATTAAGTCAAATAAAGTAAGTCACACTAGATGTGTGACAGGTAAAACCAGAGACATTGAGGTTTAAACTCATGACATATATATATATATTTCTTCGTAAAATTTTGTTATATATTTATATATATATATATAAATTAAATGTCCCAACATTGGATCCTATTCAAAGTGAGAGGTTTTGAATTGAATGCCCATCTGCTACTACAGAAGAATTTAAATTTAATTTGCCCCACTATTCATTTGCAAGTTTTTAAAATTGATGATTAGAATTAATTTGTATCGCTAATCAATTTGTTAGATGATATGAACGATTATCTTGCATAAAAGTCTAAACTGTTAAAAATACACATTATTTATTTATTTATGTTAGAGGGAGTGATCCAATACAATCCGATACTTCCCTCTTCTCATGCCTGTTAGCCAAGCCGAAGAAACAAAATTTCTTGTGTCTTTGCCGAGGTCGAAAATGGCATAATCCTCCGGTCAATTCAGCCAATCGACAGCTAAGGTCAGCGACAGCGACGGACAACAAAAGAGGCGGTTGGCGGCTTCGCGAACTCCAATTTTTATGGTAATCACCACATAATGTTAAATTCGTCCTCTAGTTTTTTTCCAACGCGCTTCAATTTTTAATATTATATATATAATCTTTATTTTAAGCAATTAAAAAAGCTTTATTCAAGTTTTATTTATTTATATATAAACTTTATTTTTTTTTCATAAATTCAAATTGTATGATATTAGTAAATTTTAAAATAAAATAATAATATAATAATAAATTATTTAATTAGATTATATTTTGTATGAAATATTTTATAAATGGATAAAATTCATTTTGAATAACATAATTGAATGAATATAATTCATAATTCAGCATCGAAAATTTGTGAGTGCATCCCTTATATGATCATTGCCGGAACAAAGAAATCTTAATAGTTGAATATAAGACCAAGACATTACATATGAGCCTTGTTTCAGTGCCGAGTAATAATATTGTACTTATCAACTACGTCGAGTTTTGTGTTTCAATGGTAAGATCCCTAACCACATTTTCTCAAGAACAGTTGCGACATTCATTTCTAAGATTCACCTAAATAAAATAAAAGGTTTCTCCAATACACATGCCGGTAACACCTCTATATCGTAGGATATAGCATGGCGGGAAAACTTTTATAATGAGGCTCGAGAAAGTATGTCTGGTCGCATCATATCTATTAGAATTATACAATCCGCTCAAAAAGATGACATTGTGGTTAACTAATATTGAGAGTTTCAGCTTTCTATACCAATGCAACCAATATTACAAAAATTCATACAACTTCACTCTACACTATGAGCTTTCATCTTATTCGAAAGCTATAGCTAGCGTAACATCGTCATCTTCTCTAATAATCACACCCCAACTACAAATGTATCATAAATCATTATATAAAGACAATGTCTATACATCATCTAGAGTTATACATTTTGCTTATCATACATGTGGATTTCTCTTATATGTTTTTCTTTCGATTGTATAAATATGTTTGGCATCCTTACTCGGTCTCACCTACACAGATAGATTTATCAACATCCTATACGAACGCTGATCGACCTTACTGATATCTTTTATAGAATATCTTTAAGGCCGCATCCATAAATTTATCTTTACATAAACCATCAATAACAATGATGTAAAAACAAGAACAGTGCTTGGAGAACAGACTCAGAGTAGAAAAGGGAAGATCGAACCGGTTAGATAAGCCAAAGATTTTTTGAAGTAAGAATTGAAGTACGCCTAACAATCGAACATCATTGAAAAGGAAGATGCCAGTGGAATCATCTTCCAGCTGCACAACATCCGAAAGTAATCTAATGAATACATTTAGGCTTGGCAAAGGATTAATATGTTAAAAAAAAAAAATAAAGGGGCTTCATACTTTCGAATAACATCGTCTAAACGATCAATAGTTCCACGGGAAAATAGAAGTTGTACCAAAACATCCAACAAAGCAAAATCAAGAAGTGTTCGAGTAAAAGTATGAACTTTACCTGACGAATTCGGATCTGGAAATTAAAAGTAAAAAACCTCTACCGAATCCCGGAGAGATTGAAGCCCTTCATCGAAGCCGCCACACTGAACTTACAGAAGGGAATGGGTGAAGAAACCTAGAGAGAATTTATTTAGGCAGCTATAGCGATAGAAGCGTGTTTCAGATTCATCGAATAGTAGTGTTTTTGTTTCCTCTTGTTACTTTTAACGATAGAAATACACTTTGCGGATATATGAATAATGATTTAATTTTTTTAACAGTTCGAGTTTTTAAGTGAGACGGTCATTAACATCCGACATGGTATCAGAGCCCATGATATCAGAGCCTAAGTTAGGTTTCGAGTTCGAGTCCCACGGCTTAGTTTTCCTAACCGTTTGAACGTTTAGGTGAGACGGAAAATGTGTTTGTATTTTAGTTTAACCACTCATTTTTAGGTGAATTTAAAATATTTTTATTACACTAAAAATTTATATTTTTGATTTGGTTATTACAACGTGAGTTTGTTAATTAATTTATTTGTCGAGTTAAAAATGTATTGACATGTAAGAAAAATATTTAAAGTTTTGGATCCATTCATTCTAAACATAATAAATAATACTAAAAAGTTGAACATTTTATTTAACAAAAAATAGATGATTGATATGAAAAAAATGCATCTAAAAGCTTGGAATAATTCGATTAAAGAAAAATATCCCAAAACTTCATTTGAATTGATGCATCAATTATTTACTCCCTCTCCCTCCGTCTTGGCTATAGTATATATATTACCGTAGATGCGAAAAATTACGGGGTATAATTAATAAATAATTAAGAATGTATAATAAAAATAATTATTTTATAATAAAAAATAATTATAGATTAAGATTAAAATAAGTAATTAGTCTAATTAAAATTTAAAAAATTATAAATTTAAAAAACTAAAATGATATTGAAATGTGAAACTTTTTCAAGAAAAAAAAAATGACAAAATAAGTGAGACATATGAAAATAAGAAGATGGACACAGTGGGTAAGACAAAGAAAATATTATTTTATGTTAAAAATTATAAAATAAAAATCTATAAAATTGATACAATTTGCACCTTTGAAGACTGCGAAATCGGCTCCCAAAAACCTCTACCAACCGGCTTGAATTCCTTTTGTGACGGGTTGATCTTTCTGTGTGAGGTTCTCGGCCATAAACCGTTCCATGTGTTCGAGCACCTTGTCCTTTACGACTGATCGATTATATATGTTTTGGTGTTGTGCGTACTTTTATTAAGTATTATAATTTTATCTATTTAGTTATAATAGACATTTTTAAATTCAGCATTATAGTAGCCACTTAGTTGAATATGACCTCAAAGTGAACAAACAAGCTTTTATATCCACCACTCATGTGTTAGGTGAAGCACAAACAATGAAAATTGATATCAGAACACACATAAAAGACGAGAATTTGATGACCCAGTTTGGCAAAATAATGACATTATGTTTCCTAAGGTCAAATGTGTGGTTGTTTTGTTAATTAATTTATTCCAAACGCTAAGGTCATATGCAATTCACGAACTTTATTTATAGTATTTTAACTCAAAAAATGCAGTTGTTAGAGTATTTTTATTCTAATCCACAACTCTATTTTTTATTCCTAAAAAAAAATATTCTTCACATATTATATTTTATATATGATTTTAAACTACTTTTTACATCTAAAATTAATACAATATTATCTTTTAAAAAAATTAAAAATAAAAAATAAATAAAAGAAATAATATACAAAATTAAAGAAAAAAAAAAAAGAAGAAAGAACATACCACCAAAAATGGCATTGCTACAATGCACAATGTGTCAAAAATGACGCATGATTGGAAGGTCACAACTCCATTTATGGGACTGTGGCGTAAAAAATAAAATTGTATTGGAGATGGTCTATACGAAAATTTTCAATCTTAAAAAAAAGGAAAAATGTTGTTCAATATTTTATATAATTTCCGTTAAACTATTATTCAATACATACCAAATTTCATTAGGTTAAGCTAATTATTTGGTCGTTTACTTAATTGCTCTCCTACTCATAGCGTATTGTATTTATATAAGAGTTTTGAGCAATATTAAGAGCTTCAATCCAATCAAACATGGACTTAAACAAGTGTGAATTAATCATGCTATAAAATATGTTAATAAAATATTGAAATAAAATTTATATGACATAGTATAAGGGTGGGATCCCATGTTGAAACCTAATATTCAACATCACGTTGATTCATTAATAGCTTTTGGATTATAAAAATTAATTTAAAGACTTATATTAATTTAGAGGTATAAAAGTAATTTACTTACAAATAATTTATGTAATTGTCTTCTTCTTTCTTGCTTTTTTTCTTTATGCTATTTTTTCTTCTCATTTTGTAATTTCAACACCACATACAAGAAAAAAAAAGCATAATCTTTCAACAAAATTTTGAATAAGATCGATAAAGACGAGCAAAATCTATGTATTATTATTATAACCTCAATAAATTCCTCAAAAAGCAACGGAGACATCGAAGAAGTAAAATTTTCAGATATTTCATCTCATTCGCTCAACAACCTTATAATTTCATAATTTTTCAAAATTTATAGAACAATCAAATATCAAAATCTCGTTTGCATTTATTAAAAATTTGAATAATATAAGTGATCATTATTATATCAAAATATATAAATTACTGTTAATTAAAATAAATTAGCATCTTGAATTTAACATTTATGTATGCATATGAAGCATTTCATACTATATTATACAACTCGATACAAAACTCAACATTCCTTAAAATGTGTGACAACATTTTAATACTCAATAGACAATATATTCTTTGACATTTTCAACACCTGATATAAACATGATCAATTGATTGACATACAATGAAATTAACAAAATTTTATACTTTTTATTATGAGTATGCACATAAAAGGAGTTTGTAGTCTGGATTGAATTAAGATTCAAAAAAATTTCAACATTCATTATTGTATAAAAATACTTATATTATTTTTAATTAAAAAAAATTTAGCATCTCATTCAATTGAATTTAGCAAGCATTTCATATTATATTATATACTACTTGATACAACAATCATCATTTTGTAAAATGTGTCACAGTATTTTATTATTCAATAGACAACATATTGATTGATATTTTTTAGCATCTAATATAAACATGATTCATTGATTGATATACAATGGAATTGACAAAATCAGATGTTGCTTACAATTTATAGTGTACATATGCACATATATATATAATAGGGGTTTGTAGTTAGGTTTAAGATGCATAAAAAATTCAGCATTTATTGTAACACAAAAATACTCAGATTATTGTTAATTAAAGTAAATCAGCATTTTGTTTTATTGATTTCAGTGTTTATGTGTGCATAAAAGAACATTTTATACCATATTATTCAGTACGACATTAGTTGTCGACACATGCTTTTTCAATATTTTTCCGATCACAATCACTACTCTTCTTCCACCATCGCTGCCGCCCTCCGCTGCATCCACTACAAGAAAAAATTATTTTTGTAACAAATTTTTTTTTTCTCTAAATCTATTTTTTCCGTTACTAATGACATTAGAGACGGAATTAGTAATGGAATTACGTTAGCTACGTGAACTTTAGGGACGGAATTCCGTTACAAATATATTATTTTTTTGTAGTGATCCTCCCATACTAATTGAACGCAAATTACCACTCACCATTGTATCGCTCAACACCAACGATCATTCATTCACCACCAATGACTTTCCACCTAACAACCAAGCCCACATACACTCCCGGAGAATGGAGATCACCGCCAGGACAGCGGCGATGGCAGCAACAACAACAGCGTAGACGACAGTAGTTGCAGTGGCGGCGGCGTAGACGACAGCAGTGGCGTAACAATATAAATGAATCATAAATAATTACTTTTAAAAATCTGAATTAGATAAAATATTTTATATAAAAAGTCAATTTCACCTTTATTTAATCTACACCATTAATTTTATATCAAATTTAATTAATGAATGAAATTAAATCAGCACCGTACTGATGACGCTCCCATCAGCAGGTGATCCACATCCAAAGTGTAATCACGATTGTATTACACAAAGACTAATATTAATGTTTGTTTAGTTATGTGCTTTTTATTTTTTAACCAATAATTATTTTCATGTCAAACATACACAAGTAATTAAATACACTGGCTGGTTGGCTTTTGGGGGAAAAAAAGAAAAATGAATGCTTTGATTATTTATATACTAACGATCAATACAATTTATTATGCACAGATTTGAATAAAAAAGAAATATATTACAAAATATTATATCAAATACTATTGAGATAAAAAATTCAAATAATAATTTATTTCAAATCAATTTTAAATCACACAAGATAAATTTTATAATTTTTGTGTCATTTTTGTTTTCTTTATTTGTTTTTAGAGAGAGGGATTGTACAGCATTAAAAAATTTCAATTTATGCTCTTACAATTGTGCAGTTTTAAACTGTGTGATTAATTATCACAATTTATATTTGTATTAAAAATCAATATTATTCCATATTTAATCATAAAAATAAGAATAATATTAATTATTTTTATTATATAATCTATATATTAAAAATAATATTATAACCTCATTCTAGAAAGTGAACACACCTTAAATGAGATTATTATTTTAAAATTTTATATCATTATCTCTTATTTATTTATTTTTTTACCTAATAATTGTCTAGTACTGTCAAACTCTTTCTTTAATTATATACATATATATATATATATATATATATAAGGATACATTTAAATAAAATAGAATAAATAACAATCCTTATCACTCTAGTCTCCCTCGTCGTATAAATTAAGCTTCAATTCTACCTGCTTCAACTCAACACAAATTTTCTTACATTGTAATAATAATCAAAGCCAAAGTCATCTTGCAAGAAAACATCCTTTAGCTACACAAAAATAATTGGGCTGATTTTGGGATACCAAGTCATGTCTACCAATTGTATCTCAACTTCATCATCTACCTGCAGCTACTTGATCTGCCATGGCCAAGGCATCAAAGCTGCTCGAACTACAAAATTTAGTTTTCCGGCAACAACCAATCGCAATCAAACCATAGGGCGAACTCAGAGCCTCAGAAAGCTTGGATTCAAATATGGATCGATTTCATCGTAAGTTCTTATATATATATATATATATATATATTTTTCAGTTTATGTCTAAAGTTATGAATTCTATCAATTTTCAGGTTTAGATCCAAATCTAGGATTTTGGTTCCAGTCAATGCATCATCTTCACCAAATGGTCCCTTTCCCTCTTCTTGGTATGAATATTTAATTAGAATGATTTTGGAAGAAATAATCCAAAAACATGATTAATATGAAGAAAAAAAAAAAAATCAGCTAAAATTATAGTAGTTTTACAGAAATGTAGAGTATTCTCATGTCTTATTCTTCTTAGGGTTTTCTCTACTCTTTTGTATATTAATTATATTAACCATACTGATGATAGTTATAAATTTGCATGTATATAAATATGTATATATAACAAGAAGCCATTGATTGTATTTTTCATGTTTAATTTCTTGTTTGATTTATTTTTGCACCTTTAATTTGCAGGCAAACATGGATGGTGGGAATCCTTATGACAATGTTTCTAGGCTACAAAGGAGGGCTACTCTCGAAACTTAAATGTTGGAAATAATCTTACACATTTAAAGAGTCGAAGAAAATAAAGTTGACATGTTTTGACACTATTTATTATGTTGTCGAATTCATTTTTCAGGCAAGATTGATCAAGCCGTACAAGTAGTCGGGAATTTGGCAAGGGTAGTTGAAGAGGTTGGCGAAGAAGCAGAAAAGATCGTAGAGGAGGTGGAGGAGAAACTCCCCGGAGATTCAAAGCTTAGGCAAACGTTGGAGTCATTCGATAATCTTGCAAAGCACGCCGTCAACGATGCTAAAAAGGCCGAAGAAGTTGTTCACAAGGTAACTTATTATGAATATATCGGCTCTTATACGATGTAGATATTCTCAGGGTCTATTTGAATGTTCGTTTAGAGGTTAGAAATAGTAAAAAATTTATTAGAACAAGTGTTCGATAAAAAAAATAAAAAATAAAAATACATTTGATTTAATGTTTGTTAATGAAAGAAAATAGGATGAATACTGAGAATTTACTAAAAATTCAAAATTTCAAACACACACAAATAGGATGAATAGTGAGATATTATTGCAAATGACTTTGGTAAATTAAAGTCAACGATTTAAATCGATCATCAGATCTATAAATCAATAAATTACTTACCAAATGATATTTATTTAATACTTATTATTTTATTTATTTTATTTTATGTTGATCATTTGGATTGCAATATCATTTAATTTAATAGGATATATTATATGCTGCCCCCATCACATGGTGTTGGCTTATTTCAGAAGAATATATATTATCTATCTTTCCATTATTATTTAATTTGGGCAAAGTTCTCAAAGACAAGAAAGCTTCACCTGCCCATACCCACATCAATTTTCCTAACAAAAAATAAAAATAAAAATTACACGAATTATTTTAATATTATTGAATCTAAAAAATTTGGTTTTCTTAGAAAAGTGCATGTTGATTTTGAATTGGGCCAAAGTAAAGTGTTTGATTTAAATAAAATTAATTCATTTCAAATATAGATTTATTTTGTTAAGTTATTGAAAGATATACTCAACTTTATATACATAATTTTAAAGGTTTTAGACATTATTCATCATCTATTTTTTTAAAATATGTTATAATAAATACTTATTTCATGGTCTTATAAAATATTACGTCAAAATATTTCTAAAATTCTTTTCTAACAGAGCATGGGTAATTTTCTATTTGTGCATGTTTGTAAGTCTAAATATTGTACATTGTACTTTAAGGTATATCTTCAATACATATTGTTAGAAATATATAAATAAATATTACATCTAATACTGCAAATGTAAAATGAGTTTTAATTTATTTATAATTATAATAATAATAAAGATTTTTTTTTTTTTTTTGTGCCCTATTTTGATCTGTTGATATAAAATATCAGGTAAAAGATGTAGAAGAAGAAATTGAAGAGACGATCAAGAAAGGTGAGAAAGCTCAACCCAAGAAGAAATTATAAGTGTGCTTATAATATATATATATATATATACTTTATGAAGTGTTTGAATTGACCCAATGAAGAAATGAAACTTGCTTTATATATTTGAATTTTTTCCTCTGGATATCTTCTGCTTCCTCCGTTATCCAATTGTGTATTCATTTCACCAGACATGAATTTTAAAAAAATATATGTAAAAATAGAAATTTTTACTTTTTTTGGTAAAAAAAATTGTATTTTTTTACTAAAAAAAAAACAAAAATAAATTTGGATGACAACAAAAAAAAAAAAAGTGAAAATAAATTTGAATGCCAGAGGAAGTATTAATTAATTCTCTATTTCTCTTATAATATATATATTCAAATATTATCTAAATTATATATGTATATATTTCATAATATACAAAAAGGCTAGAGAATGAAATTTTTTAATATAAGTAAACATTAGAAATGAAATTGATGTCTAAGTACATAAAGGACGAGGATATGTTGCATAAGTAAAAGTGCCCCATCTTCTACGGTTGTTATAATAAATAAAGGTATTTGTAATCATTTTTGCTTAATTATATAACTTTGATTGATGTATTTTTTTAAAAAAAAATATAAAAATTATATTAATAATATAAAAAATAATATTTTATATTAAATTTTTTTATTTGATAAAATATATATTATATATTATGTTAACATACATATATATTATGTTTTTTTATAGTATTTATATAAAATTGTATCACTAAAAAACTACTAAGCTAGCAAATCATTTGTTTTCAAATAAAATGATTCTGAGTACCCAATACACAATAATCGAACTAAAGATAAATTTAGACATGAAATGTCAATATCATCGCCCCCACCTCCATATAGTTGGGAGAGGGGAAATTTGTTGAGTTTAGGCTCCCAACTATGTGAATTAAAGGCCCAAAATTATTAGGTAATTAGGCCTAATTAATGATTATAACCTAATTACCATTTGGAGAAAAAGTCAGAGCAGCAACAGTAGCCGCGATAGAACAAAAACAACGCTCTCTGCGCAGTTTTGGAGATTGGATCGATCAGCATATGAAATATTGATAGAACAAAAACAACGCTCTCTGCGCAGTTTTGGAGATTGGATCGATCAGCATATGAAATATTGTTCGATCGGCTTGAATTTTTAGTGAAGATAGAAGACATTTGTATCGTCAATCTGAACGGTGGAGATCGATTTTCAACGGTGTGAAAATTCCCCTAAGCTATTTTAGCATATAGACAAATGGTGTCTTAATTCCTGCAACAAAGACTTTCTGTTTTAAGCAAACAACGGTCGCAGGGTGTCAAATACTTCAACCGTGTTGCAACCGAGGTATGTGGGTTTGACCTTATCCAATTTGTCCCATCCTTAAATATTTACAAAATACAATGCATATTTGAGAAAATGTCAAATTACATTAGTTATATGGAAACTCACTCATTTCATTTCGGTGCAAAGAAAAATTAATGTGAAATTTTTTATTTCAAAAATGTGAGTGATTTAGTCAGCGGTACAAGGAAAATATGGTTGCTGGTGAGTGAGTTTGAGAGCATATTTTAGAAAGGGAATACAGTGTGAATCTCTCACCCCCTATCTATATCGATTCTCTTTAGTTTGAATAAGTGTTTTGACACTAAAATCCGTCGGAGAGTTCGACGGTGAACGGAGTTAAAGGAGTTCCAACCGGAGAGAAGTATCCAACTCTGAGTTGCTCTGTTATATGGTCGTTGTCAGTACGTATTTGTGATAACGTGAACCTGTGGAAATATTTTCCAAGATAAACCATAATAAAAGTTTGGGTTGAAGGAGTTGTGATTGTTTATGTTTTGTAATCAACACTGATTAGTAGAATCTCTCTTAAATTGGAATCCCCTGCATGTAGGTTGGTTTATAACCGAATCGGGATACCAAATACATTGTCTTCTCTATTGTTTTTTTAGTTCTGCGTTTATTCCGTTGACAATGTGTTGTTTTAACAAACAGTCCGATTTTCAGATAAAAATGTGGTAGCGGATCAGGTTTTTTTGCTCTATTTCTGTGCGATTTTGTTGTTCTTGTGAACTCGAGATTTCGGTGATATTGTTTAAGGCACATCTCAGATTGTATTTTTGGATGTTTGTGCTCTGATTATTGGTGATAGTTAGGTTTAAGAACCTCGTGGTTTTTCCTCTTCGCATTGGAGAGATTTTTTTATGTAAATCGGCATGTCGTATATTTCTCGTTATTTATTACTGCTCTTGTAATATTGTAACAATTGAGGAATTATATTGTTGTATATCGTAATTATTCCCAACACCAAATAATCTCTTCCTCTTCTCTATTTGAAATTGGCGAAGTCGGGAGGTTTGAGATCACTTTACTTAATTTCCGTTGCATTTATTTTAATAAATATTTTATGGGTATTCAAATGTTTCGGGTGTGTTTACTTGTATAATTTTTCATCCAATTTTACTATTTTAATTATCTTTTTTCCCCAAAAATATCCAATCAAATATTATATTTTATTTATTATATTATACTAAATTTTAATTTTATATTTAAAACTATCTTATCAGATATTTATATTAAATCAAACCACTGTTGCGATTCAAAATTTTATAAATAAAAACACCCCGATGAGATGGATTTGGATCACTTTACAGGCATGTGACTTAAGACCTATCCTAAGTCAAACATAGCAATTTAAGTGTAAAGCAATGGTGACCATCGAATGAGGCCACTATTGATTTTTATTTAATTAGAAAATAAAAAAATAAAATAAAAATGACTTAAAATAGACAAGATCAACATGAATAAGGAAATACTATTATTTTCTACAACTGAAATATTTGGGAGTAAATTGTACATTGAAATTAAATGTATTATTTAGATTTTTGTTATATTTTCAAAACATATTTGAAATTAGTTTAAATGAAAATTATTATTTCCCTGTAACAAAACTTTTTTATTTAACATATATTTATATAATTTTTACAATATTGCATTATAATTGGTCTTCGAGAAAATAACTTAATTATATTTTCATTATTTATCAAAGTTTTCTTCTTTAAATATACAACATATTTAAAATATAACTTTTATTTGAAATATTGTAGCTAATACTTATTTATATTACATCGAATTTTTATTTCTATTCAACTTTTTTATTATTTTCAAATAAATCGAAATCACTTTCAAAATATATTTTAGATAAATTAAGCTCGATAGACAAGTTACACTAGGCGAACTATGTGCGACAAATGATTTGAGGCGTTGGAATTTGAACTTATGATCTCACGGTCACAGGTCCACTACCACCAAGCCATTCTTTACGGAATATTTTTTTTTATCTTCCAAATACACCGTATATCAAAATATTAAAAAAGTACTCCCTCCGTCCCGTTTACCATTTTTGTCCGTCTCAAAACAATAGTCTTATTTGCATAAATAATCATATCACTATAAAACCATTCTTATTTTTTCATTATTATTACACAATTGCCACTATTTTTTACACTAATACACTCACAAGGGCACAAAAATATTTTACCTGTATCTTTTAACTACTATAAATATAATATCAATATTTTTTAAATTTGGTGTCAAACATAACTCATACTATAATTTTGGAACGAGAAAATATATTGTATTTTCCGGTACGATTGAGGCACGAAAATGCACAGAAAAAGTTCCACGGCGCACTATCTATTGATTATTCCTTTTAGTATTTTCTTAAAAATCCATCACATCACTCCATTCTCCTACACACTTTTAACATAACTTATCACATCAATTTCTTCAAAGCACCATCACTTTAACCATCATTATTACAAATTCAACCATCCATCGAGTACATTACCATTAAAAAAAAAAAAAAAAAAAAAAAAAACCCTCGTTTCTATATATTTTGAGTGTATTACTTTATATACAAAAATTTAAAAAAATTATAATTAGTAAATAATTAAAAAATATATTAATAAAAATAATTATTATATAGTAAAAATAATTATAAATTAATATTAAGATAACTAAATAGTTTAATTGAAATTTAAAAAATTATAAAATTTAAAATATTACTTCCTCCGTCCCAAAAGAGGTGTCTTATTGGGTGTCGGCACGAGAATTAAGGAATAATAGTATACAATTGAAAGTGAATATAAAGTATAATATAAAAGACTAAAATACCCTTACTTTTTGAATAATTTTAAAAAGTAGTTCAGTAATAATTAGGGGTAGTTTGAAAAAGTAGGGATAATTTTGTTATAAAGTGACGACCACGGTTACTAAATAAGGAAACGAGACAATTGTTTTGGGACAGACAAAATGGAAAAACAAGACAACTCTTTTGGGATGAATGGAGTATTAAAGTGTATAATTATATTTCAGAAAAGGAAATGACAAGTTACGTGAAACAAACGAAAATAGAAAATATGGATAAATTATATGGGACGGAGAGAGTAAATAAATAATCAAACAACTCGCCAAAATTCAATAACATACCAAATACTACTCCCTCCGTCCTACTTAATTTGTCAACTATTTCCATATACGTCTGTCCCACATAATTATCCTTTTTTTAAAAAAAAATATACTCCCTCCGTCCCAAAAAAGTTGTTTTATTTTTTCATTTTCATCCGTCTCAAAACAATTATTTTGTTTCCTTATTTAGTAACTGTGGTCCCCACTTTATAACAAAATTATTCATACTTTTCCAAACTACTCATAATTATTACTCCAACATACTTTTTAAAATCTTTCAAAAAGTAAGGGCATCTAGTCTTTTATATTCTACTTTATACCCACTTTCAACGGAGGGAGTAATTATATACTTTAATCACATTTTAAAATTTAAAATTTATAATTTTTTTATTTTAATTAAACTATTTAGTCATCTTAATCTTAATATATTATTATTTTTATTAGATCATAATTATTTTTACTAATACACTTCTTAATTACTTACTAATTATATGATACCTAAAACTCCGTGTCAGCTAAAATAGACAAATTAGCTAGGACGTAAGGAGTATTATTTTTATATTACTCCATCCGTCTCACATAATTTGTTTCTGTTTTTTTTGTTTTTCGTCCTTCTTATATAATGTG